ATCAGCATAGTAGAATGATTTCTGAAGGATCATGTGACACTGAAGTAATGATGCTGAAATTCAGCTTTGACAACACAGAAATACTTTTCATTTTAAAAGATATTCAAACAGAAATGTTATTTTAGATTGTAAATGAGCCAGACCGATATTATCGGCCGATATTAGGCATTTTCCATAATATCGGTATCGGCAGTTATAATGGCCGATAAATGAATATTTTAAAAAATAAAATAAAAATGGACGAAACACGCTTCAATCATCTCTCCTTGGCCTGTTATATTGAAAATGTATGTTTTGCAGTATGATGTTATCTATTGCTAAATTATGGCTCATCATAGACTAGCTAACCACAAAGCTAGCTAATGCCACTATAATCAGTGGAAGGCCGCTAACGTTAACATTAATGAGCTTGGAAACCACAATGAACTTTTTCTGCCTAAATAAAGTAATGATTACTGTATTTATAACTAGCATATCTCTAGTTACAGTCCCTGCATTGTAAAATGTAAGTTATACTTGCGAGGAGTGAACATTTAGACATAGAGAAAAAGTATCAAACGTATCTTGTGCAGAAAAGTTCGCTTTTCTTTTACACGTGTGTGAAATCCAACATTATTTAATGTAAAAAATAAAATAAAAATATCGGCCGATATATCGGATTATCGGATTTTAAACCCAAAAATATGTATCGGTATCGGCCTTCAAAATCCTTTATCGGTCGGGCTCTAATTGTAATGTCTCACAAATTGACTTTTTACAGTTTTTGATCAAATAAATGCAGTCCAGGTGAGCATAAAAGCACTTTTTGAATGTTATGCAGACTGTTTTTCCTTTTCGTACCTGTGCATCTTCTGTTGTTTGAGCCTGAGGTGCCAGTTCTGTTGTGCTGTTGTCCTGCGACAGGTTTGCTGTGCTGAATGGAGCGTAAGGGTCTACCTGCGGGTCCAAGCGCGTGGTTATTGGGGGAGGAATGTGTGTGTCAGACGGAGGTGTCTGTTGGCCGAGGACCAGCTCGACCAGCTCCTCCTTCTCTCGGCACATCTGTGTGGGGACCCCGTGCAGGTGGAGATAATCCCTCAGATCCTTCACCTTCAGCCTCATCAGCTCAGCTCGCTCGTACAAGATCCCACGGAAACGCTGGCAGGTGTGGCACAGCCACGGCTGGGCGTCCAGCTGAGCGGAGCACTGGCTGCAGTAGCTTTTCTTGCAGTCCATGCACATGTGCTGCAATGAACAATGGGAGGGTGCTTTTTAAAGCCAGGTTAAGACTGGAACACCATCTCACATCTTATTTAAGGAGTGTGAAACACCATTAAGAATTTCACAGTTGGCACAGGCATTAAAGGGTGTAAGAACTGGGTCAAAAGCTCCACTCTATTGACTGATTCTAGCAGATGTACTGTTTGCGTCATTACATCTGATAAACACTGAGGCCGAGTTGTACCGGATAATGCCAAAGCAGTCTGGGAAGTTTCTTCAGGGAATATAAACACATGACTAACATAACTTCTGGAAGTCACAATGCCATTCAGTCTATGTACACACTGCAAGAGCTGTTGGCTCATGTCCCGATCTCATTTCACTACTTTCATGTCTACATTACTGTTAAATAAACGCAAAAAGAGACAGTGATGACAGTGACGACAGTGAAGGATGAGAGAGGACCAGGCCTGGGACATTTGTATGAAGGACTGCCACTTAACCCTTGTGCTGCATTAGATTAACACCGTTGAGTGCATTAAGGACCAAAAATGGCCACATATTAAACATTGCCTAAAATATTATATATTATTATTATTTTCCACTTTTACCAAGTTAAATCTTTTAACCAGCATCAGTCCTCATCATAACTACCAAAAATGTATTCAATTTCAGGATTTTAACCCTTTAATTACCAGTTTTGTTTGCAAAACCATCGATTTGTATAAGAGGAAAAAACACAAAAATTCAATTATTTTCAATAAACTAAATGCAAAGAAAAAACTTTAGATTTGGATTATCACAGTCCCACTTTGCAAAAAATCCCACTTAGCGCGTTAGAGACCAAAAATGGCCACCTATTAAACATTGCCTATTGCCTAAAATAAGGTGCATTTCCACCCATAGGGAATAAATATGTAGTGACGTCATCTGGTGGAATACACTATATAATGCAAATATAATGCTTTTGCTTCAAAATGAAAGGATGTTTGTGCAAAAATCATGTTTCATGTATTACTGACAGCCTCAGATTTAAACAACGTTTTAATGGGTTTCAATGGGCCATTTTTGGTCTTTATGGTGCTGAGTGTTACTATTTGATCTACACAGTGTGTGTTATACATATTTTGCAAAATGGGATCACATTTTTTACATGTATCCAAAAAGTCACAATTTTGCCAAATTTCATACCATTTGCATTAAAACAGCCAAAATGGTCAAAGAAATTAAACTGCAAAAGACCAAAAATGTCCCTAATGCAGCATAAGGGTTAACTTTCATTTTGTTGTTTATTTTGGTCATTAAAATAATGTTGAACGTTCGTTGGTTCGATTGTTATACTCAAATTTCAGTCTTTATTTCACTTCAGGAAAGGGAGGAGTTTCAATTATTATATTTAGATTAATTTGAATTTCATTAAGTCGTCACCTTTTATAGTTTAATAAATCACCCTAAGCATATTGCGATTCCTGTTTTTCTGTCCCCAAATTTAATTAAGACTTTTCCCCCCTTCTACCTTTAAAGATATTTAAGACTTTTTAATTGCCTTAAATATGATTAAACTGAATTTAATACTTTTTAAGGACCGGAAGGGACCCTGTTATTACCTGTACAAAAATCGTATCCGTGGGTGTGCAGGTTGAGAAATTGTTCCCTGTGTGAGATTCATTCATTTTAGTATGTAGGTGGAGTGAGAAGGGACTTCCCTGATCCTTGAAAGTGGAGTGACGTCATCAGGGATTACTACTATTTAAAATGAGACGAGGCTGATGGCGGCACTTCTATTTGCTGGAGCGATACACACTTTGACTATGTTGACTTCAATTTTTGTTTTGTTTGTTTTAGCTGCCCTGCTTATTATCTTATGTGATCTATCGTCTGTGATTTCTTATATGATAATCCTTGTCTTTTTCAATGGTTTAAATGAGCTAAAGGTGGTTTTGGACCATAAAGGTGATGATCCACAGGGGAACTTCTTGAGCAATGTTGCCGTCAATGGACAACCAGATGAGACACGGTGCACACAACCGATCTAAATAATCCAGATAGAAATGTATTGCCCATTTTCAATGGGAAAGTGCCCAAGCAACAAATGCTTTAGCAAGATTGCCCAGCAACATCGCTCAAAAAGTTACCTTGTGTATCATCACCTTAAAACCCACGCATTGAAAAAAAAAATTGCATTGCTAAACATGGATTCAGAATGCGGCCTCAACTTCCGGTTCACACAGACTTTAAGGTCATGACACAACGTGACCTAGTTTTTCCAGTTTGTTCCCACCTCTAGCACTAGTTGGACCCCCGTCTGCTGCGTGAACAGGTGAAGCGATGAAAGCCACTGGTTCTTTGATGTCGGTTTAGTGTGTCATGGCTGAACGTTTGCAGGATGTCTGAGGCTGGTACATGCTTCTGCAGAAGCCACACATCAATGGATTTTCAGCTTAATTTATAAGAAACTGCTTTTGAGAACCAAATTACTGGTGAAGCATACCACTACCCACAAACGTAAAATGAAGTCCTATATTGTGTTAAGAGTAACCATTGTAATCCAGTGGAAACTTATGCAGTTATATAGCATCTATCCAACTAAGGATGTCACATTACCAAAATTCCAGTAGTTGGGACCGATACCATTAAATTTTTACGAATCTCGGTACCAGCAAAATTAAACTATTTTATAATTAATTAAAAAAAATAATAATAAGAGTTGAAGACTACGTGCCGTTAAACAAAAATTTTGAGAAATACTGCTTATAGAAAAACAAAAAATCGAGTGAAAAATAAGCAACCTTCTATGCACACATTATTATCATTATTAGTCGAGCAGTCGTAGTATTTTTATTTAAAGTCGGCATGAAATCAAATTTGACAAATCTTCTTTTTATATGTAATATTGTAGTGGTTATTGTAAATAATTTATCGGTGCACTTCATTATTTTTTTTTAAATTCATGTACCCTTGAAATCTTTAATCAAATACATTACACTTCCCCCCACTATCGAAACGATCTCTCTTCTCTTTTGCTCACATGGATTGGCAAAAGGGTGCGGCCAGATCTGATGAGGCAGCGGCTATTGGTGCATCTCCTCTCAGAGAATCGCATTCAAATTGTTTGCAACGCTCAACCTCCAACGATCCAATCAATTCCCGAAGGATGAAATCTAGCCCTGCCCATTATTTTTCCTAATTTCAGAAGCCGTTTCACTTGTCATGACAAGGAAAAAAGGACAATCTCAACTTTTCACGCCGACTTTAACAGAGACTTTAATTTTGACAGTTTGCTGTGTGAAGAACTTTGAGTTTCTGTGCGTGAATGATATGACGATAGTTTTTCTCAAATGAAACGGCAAAATGCTCATGAAGTGACTCTCAGAGCGGCTCTGGAGATGACATCATCATATCGTGAGACAGCAGAGACTGAAAACAGAGCGAGCGTCACTCGTGTTTCAGTGTGTGTGTGTGTGTGTGTGAGAGGTAACGTTAAATGAAACCGCGCGTCTGCGTCGTTCATTCACACAGAGACAAGCAGACATGCAGGGTTCATCTTTAAACAGTCATTTTGCAGTTTAATATACACAGACACTACATCAGCAGCGAGGACGCAACTTCAAGAGGAAGAGGACGCAACTTCACGCCTTTTGTGAACGCATGCGCATCCAGAACCGGGTTTGACCGTGTACTCAGTACCACCGGGATTTGGTATTGTGACGTTTAAAATTTACTGAAGTCCTAAATATTTTGACAACACTATCTCCAACATTGGTTAATATGGGATGTTGAAAAGAAAATACAACAATTTTATGTGTTATAATTGGGTCTTCATCCATTTACTGATTTTCAAATACTATGTCTGACTTAGAATATATATTTTTTAATATTTATGAATGATGGTGCTATGGCTGGTTTGGTTCAAGGCTTAGAAACTTTTTTTTTTTAAATGTTTATCAAAGATTAAGCTTCTAGTGAAAATATTAGTGTTGGGTGATATTCTCCATAGTCATTTTGTGCTATCGTCAGCCACGCCGGGCGGGGGTTGTAGAATAGTTGTCTCATTTGATCATTTACTCAATTATTTAATTAACTTTGTTTTATAATCGTGGAGAATGACTATGTTACTATCATTTTGTGAGCAAAAATGGAGTATATGAATTCAATTAAAATGTATTTGTATAGTGCTTTTCACAATAAACATTGTTTCAAAGCAGCTGAAATGTCATGTTGCAAAAATATTTCATCCAAAAGGCCAGCCCGTGGATATGAAACATGCAATTTGCAAACTTTCCACGAGTTATACCGTTGAAGGAGTCTCAAACCACAGACAATTACTCCCTGAAAGTGAAAGCAAAAACTTACCACATTCTCTCAGAGATGACGAGAGGTGAATCTATCTCCACATAAAATCTTAATTTACAGGCTTAATATTTCTCCAGCGTAGCAGACATTAATGATAGTATGCTTATATGTGAAGTGTGGATGTCGTCACATAGCAGATATCTCAAACTATCATTGTAACATGATACTATTGATCTCTATTCAGAGAACAATACTGGATCTACTTAGTCTTAACCACTAGTGAGTCTATGAACTGCTTGCTTTCAAACATCAAAAACTTCAATCCAATTAAAAAAACAAACACTGGAAACCTGATCTCATTGTTACTCCCTGTAATTACTCTTTTGTAAGGTGCATGTGCAGGAATTCCATGAACGTGAATTGACAATAGCAGCACTGCAGTAAGGAACTGGCACAATGGCCATGACATCGATACGCGCCATTGTACTGTCACTGGAGTTTACAAAGTGCATTCTGGACAACTCCCCTCATGAGGCGAGCAGAGTAGTCACGCTCCACACAATGACTCCAGTCACTAACTCAACGTGTACGGTGGCTATAAGCTGTAGCTTGAGCCTTTCCCTTATCTGTCAGTGACATGAGGATGACGTTAAAGGCAAAGCATCAACAGGATTCCAAAAGGCACCAATAAACGCACATTACCTGTACAAGTGCTTCACCAAATAAATGTATCCCACTGCTAAAGCTAAACATTACAAGGTGGATTTGTAAGACAGTTGTCTGAAAATTAGTCGTGTCATATGATTACCTTCCTGGCGAGGCTGTCAAAGCGACCTCCACAGGCCTTGCATGTGTTTTCTGGAGCAGGGGGTGATGGGTAACCGCTGAAGCCTGAGTTTGTGAAGGTCTGATGTGGTGTGCTACTTCTGGTGTTCTCCACAGTGGGATCATCCAGACCGAGCCAGCCGCAGCAGCTGGCCCACATACTCCACACCTACTGCAAGAGAAAGAGAGATGCTTAAGTTACACCTTAAATTAAATCTGCTCAGTCTTCAAATAGAATCAAACCACCTTAGTCCTAGAAGACAACGGATGCACTTTTTCAAAAAAGTAGATTGGTCTTCTCGTATCAATACCCTTGGTAGTGAATTAGCGGCATGGAAAAGTTCTTCCAGCGTCAGCCAGGGTGGCTGATAAGCGCTCGGCTGGAGTCATTTAGCTGAAGAAGTAGGACTTCCATAATTTATTCAAAGGCCGTGTGCAGTCTAAACCACAGGAGCCGTGCAATACTCCTACTAGGTTGACACTGTATCTCCCTCTCTCACTCAAAGCCAAATAAAGGCTGTCTGATCCAGTATCACTACCATGGTTGTGTCTCTCACCATTTGGGCCCATTGTGTGGTGAATCAACTGATTAGTTTAATCACTCAAATACTTTACACAAGAAAAAGAATTGGGTAACTCCTTCCCATAACCATTGTCCAAGGCGTACCGTATTACCATGATCACCCTCAGGATTTTTACTTCAGTAAGACATGCTGGTATAATGCTACGTTCACACCGGACGCGAATCGCGCGTCATATTCGCGCCTGACGCATCTAGTTTGACGCTTGACCACTTTGTGTAATTCGCGTGTCAAGAGCGAAACTGGCGCGCGTAAAAACAAAAGTTTGAAGCGAAATTTACACGCGTGACGCACGTCAGAATCGAAATCCGTTGGCGACCATTGTTTTTATGTCGACCGAGCATTAATCAAGAGAGTTACCGCTCTGTATTTACTCTGGAGAGCTAGAACAGCGGCGTGGGATCATCGTCGCCCTATATTTGTGTCCACCGGACCCTTCGGAGCCGAACTGTTTGACGAGTTTCACCATTTGCTCACTCCAGGAGCTGCGCTGGATTACGGACGCTCTCAGCGGTACTTCCGCCTGTCACGCGCCCAGTTTGATGACATGTTGTCCCGCATCAGAGCGAGGATCACCCTCGCCCTCATCCATCTAATCTAGCTGTCATTTAATTTTGTTTTGATGATAAATAGAGCCAGCTTCCAAAAGTTATTAACCTGTCCTGTGATTTTCTCTCTCTCTCTCACGTCCAGACACGAATTTATGCACATATGTTGATTGTCTTTACAACATAATACTATTTCATATAATCTTGCTATGGAATGAATAACATTCAATACAAAATGAACATGTCTCGTATATCGAAATAATGTTTTAAGTGATAAAACATTTGCTTTGTTGTGCATAATCCCACCATGCATTTAGTCATATTAACAAAATAATTTATTGAAGCATCCAGACACTTCACCACGTGAACAAGCAGCTAGGCTCCTGATTGGTTAACGCGGCGCGAATTCACGCCAAAGTTCAGATTTTTCAACTCGGGCGGCAGACGCGAATTTGCGTCAAACGCGTGAATGCACAAATGGCATTAACTGAATCATTCGCGCTTCACGCGCCAGACGCTCAATTCGCGCAAACTTGACGCGCGAATGAGGCGTCTTCCGCGCCGCACTCCACGGCTCATTCGCGCCGCAGGATTTTTTCACGCGCGCAAAGCGTCTTTGCATTGACTTAACATTGAAATCATTCGCGCCTGACGCGCTATTCGCGTTCGGTGTGAACGTAGCATAAGATAGTCTTGACTAAAATCCACTTGCAAACAAATATTAAAGGTTCTCTGAGCGATGTGGGGCCAAAACATTTTTTGTCACATACATCAAACGTCTCCTCACTATCGGCTAGCTGCCTGTCCCCTAAACACACTGTAAAAAAACGCGGTCTCTGTAGACACCACAGGCTCCACAAACGGCAACAAAAACAATCATGTCTCACCCGGACCACGAAACCTAACAAACAGTGTTCCAGCCAATCACTGGCAAGAAGTATTTGAGGGTGGGTCTGGGGGGTTAGTGCGCGTGCACATGAAGGGGGTGTGTGTGTGAAGGAGAGAGAAGCATCAGAGGGAAGTTTGAAAAATGGCCGACACACGACCAAAGAGACGTCGTTCTGAAGAACAAATTAAAAAGAAGAAGGAGTCGGATGAAGAACGTGCGAAGTTCCGAATTTACATCGGTAGTAGGGATGTCCCGATACCACTTTTTCACTTCCGATACCGATACCGATGCCGCACCTTTGGCTTTTGCCGATACCGATATTAGTCCGATATTTTTTTTTTCGTGGTCCGACGTGCCGTATACGGCCCACAGGGTGGTTTATAGGTTTAACTTTGTGAAAGACAAAACAAAACAAACACAAAAGTAAACATAATACATATCTTTGGAAAGCTGAGAAACTCGTGATTCGAACGACGTAAACCATTTTAAGATACAATCAACACAGCGGGCACAATCTGTCTCTTTGTCAGACCACCAACAGCCAAAACAAACCAACACAAACTGGAAGAAACTCACCAATTAGCCATCTGTTAGTCCACATTCCAACAAAAATGGTTTGGTTTCACTGTAAAGCGTCCATACAATCCAATTTGAAGAAGTTTTTAGTCCAAAACAATTGTATATATGAATAAACATCCATGGAATGTAAATAGTAGCATTTCGCGTTAGCCGACAGCGCTATCACAACTTCGACGCACTAATGCTACGTTCACACCGGACGCGAATAGGGCGTCAGGCGCGAATGATTTCAATGTTAAGTCAATGCAAGAAAAATTCCTGCGGCGCGAAGGCGTGGAGCGCGGCGCGGAAGACGCGAATACGCCTCATTCGCGCGTCAAGTTGGCTGAACTTTGGCGTGAATTCGCGCCGCGTTAACCAATCAGGAGCCTAGCTGCTTGCTCACGTGGTGAAGTGTCTGGATGCTTCAATAAATTATTTTGTTAATATGACTAAATGCATGGTGGGATTATGCACAACAAAGCAAATGTTTCATCACTTAAAACATTATTTCTATATGGAGACCTGTTCATTTTGTATTGAATGTTATTCATTCCATATCTAGAAATAGTATTATGTTGTAAAGACAATCAACATATGTGCATAAATTCGTGTCTGGACGTGAGAGAGAGAAAAAAAATCACAGGACAGGTTAATAACTTTTGAAGGCTGGCTCTATTTATTATCAAAACAAAAATAAATGACAGCTAGATTAGATGGATGAGGGGCCGGGCGAGGGTGATCCTCGCTCAGATGCGGGACAACAGGTCATCAAACTGGGCGCGTGACAGGCGGAAGTACCGCTGACAGCGGCCGTCATCCAGCGCAGCTCCTGGAGCGACCAAATGGTGAAACTCGCCAAACGGTTCGGCTCCGAAGGGTCCGGTGGACACAAATATACGGCGACGATGATCCCCACGCCGCTGTTCTGCTATCCAGAGTAAATACAGAGCGGTAACTCTCTTGATGAATGCTCGGTCGACATAAAAACAATGACCGCCAACGGATTTTGATTCTGACGCGCGTCACGCGCGTAAATTTCGCTTCAAACTTGAAAGGAAGCGCGTCGCTCGCGTCACTCGCGTTGCTTTCTCGCGTAGCTCGCGTTGACTATGTAACGGCCCTTTTACGCGCGCCAGTTTCGCTCTTGACACGCAAAGCGAGAGTGATTCTCTGCGCGCGTGTGCGTAAACACAACAATTATCACGTGACAGGCTGCGCCGCTAAACTGGATATCGCTCATATTTTTTTCTCCCCTCCGATCTCCGATCTAGCGTTCTGGGCCGGTATCGGCGCGATACCGATGCCGTGGATCGGATCGGGACATCCCTAATCGGTAGCAAAGCTTTTGAACGATGGCGAGAACTCCGGCGGCAGAAGGGCTTCCAGTCCGACATTCAGGTTGCTCTGTTTTTGCTGGACAGGTGGGTAACGTTTTTTTTCTTCTAAATTGACGCTTATGTTCGCCAAACCCACACAAGGATATAATTAGCTAGAACTATGCACGTTCACAATTATTTCAGGAAGCACGGAAGGGAGGGGGAGGAGATGAGATGTGGAGGAGGGAGGGTCTAGCTAGCCTCCGATTTGTTTGAAAATATTCCGAACGTCAACACCCAGGATCGCTTTGAGAACCTTTAAAATTAGAAACCTGTATGACCAGAATCGACACTAAGTAGTTATTGTCAACATTACAACAAAATTGACATGGTTTCTTTTCCTGGTTCAAGGATTAAATGATTAATAATAATAATAATAATAAATAAATGTTTGGCTTTGTAATCTTTCATCAAAACTACACATTTCTTGATTATTTCAACTTTTTCGAACTGCTATTCTTTAAACATGGCTCAGATGGATGTATAAAGGTCATATTTATACCAAAATAAAAAGTTCATAAAAAAACTGGTCTCAAAAACAAGACGTTCAAATGGCGCCATGCACACATACACAAATAAAAACTGAATTATAAAACACATACTATGAGTTTAAAAAACTTTCCTTCCACTTTTAAACAGGAAACCAAAACTTGCATTCATGTTGAAAAAGACAAAAATCCCCAAACCCAAACAAACAATTCATATTACTTGGTGTCAGCAAACATGGTAGCATGTGCAAAGTTCAAAACAACAAATGCTCTCACAGTCCCCACTGACCATCTGACTGGACATTGTTATAAAACACTCCAGCCCCCCTTTAACCCCTCAGGCCTGTAGTGTCAGTACACCCAAACGCTCCCTAGTAACAGACCAACAATAGCTGCACTGTGGCTAGACAACACACACACACCACTCAACAGCAGGAGGATGCTTGTAATGCCTGGATTTACAGGCGACGGGTCACATGGTTGAGGGCAGAGTGGAATTATGAATGACCCATTAGGTTTGACCACCACAGAGAAAGAATCGGAAGTTTAGGAAGGATAGGAATATTTTTTACAATAACAGTTTTAAAGCTGAAATTATTGGTGCAGGTCTATACAAACCGGTGTAGATGTTACACACTTCCAGAGATGGAGTGCACAATTCTTGTTTGCCTTTAAATTGAATGCAAACAATAGAATAGAAACACATTCATACAATGTGTTGAATGTTGA